ATCGCGTTCGGTGTGAACGCAGCCTTAGAGAGAGGCTTTTATACAGAACACAGCTGCTGTGACGAAACTGTGGAGAAGACACGTCACAGAGGAGAGCCGTTAACCAATATGCAAATTAGCCTGCAGTACCACTGCTCTACCCATATGAGCAGCAAAAAGACATTTTTAGACCAAATATTACAGATTTGAACAAATACGCACAAAAACATCAAAATTATCACAGAAACAGTACTATGTAACATTTTAGACACATTCTAGACAGTTTATCAGCTAAAAAAAAGTTAATTTTGGGGTAAGTTACTCTTTAACAGTGCTAGGAGAGATTCCTGGGCTCCATCTTGTTAGGTGGTACAGTATGTCTATCACTCTGTACTGTTTACATGTCAAAACTGCACATTCTTAACCTTTCTTGAGCACTGTATGCTCATCAGCCCAGAACTTCAGAGAAATAGCTTTATATTGTTATTGTACATAGAATCACTTTTGTTTTTTTTAAGAAATGAATAAAGTTTGAAATAAAAAAATGTTACCTAAATAAACATGGATCATACTGTGAAAACAATAGACTACAGTATGCAGCAATGAGCCTCACAAAAATATCGAAGAAGCATTTCAGCAAAATGCAGTCACTGTGCACTACTTCTGTAATAAAAGGAACAAGTTCTGTAATCATTGTAGCCTGGTCAGTACACTTTAARTAATTAAGTGCTTTACTTGTCTACTTAGTATGTGTAGTTAATTACACTTGGATTAATAACTTAAACATATATAATGTAGTTTTTCTAATAATTCTGAAAATATTTTGGTCTTAAATAACATGCACATCAGTATTTAGACATAAACTAATGTGTAATATTTAAGACAATGTGTTACTAATATTGATGAGCTGTTTTCAGTTAGCTGGTATATAGTATATAGTTAGCTGGTTAGCTGGTACCTAATTTCCCTCTGGGATCAATTTAAAGTATTTTTGAATTTGAATTTGAATTGGTATATTCCTCTTATGCTGCTTCACAGTAATTATAGCAGCCCAGTCTCGAGGGAGCAGCAACCCCTGGTATTATAATAATAAGGTAAAGCAGACTAGTGCTTCCACTGAAAATGAACATAGTGCCACGTTGTTTGAAGTTTAGGTTCATAATTATAATAATTATAGAAAAGACACTGAGCTCCTTAGTTGAGTTTAGGTTTTTGTATCTAAGAACTGCAGCAACACATTTCTACTGAAAGTTCAACTGTATGCTTTGAATTAAGTTATCCTTCTTCTTTTGCACGTTTTTGTAACAGATGAGGAATTATTCTGTTTGTTTCAAAAATGCGTTACAAGCAGAAGATGTTAATCTGGATTTTTTATGCATTTTTTTCTTTTTTGACGCCCCCCCACCAACTATAATTAGTGTTTCAATCATTTAAAGAATTAAATTTTAAACGTTGCATTTGCTTTAACAAGGTGTAGTATTATAATTAGCAATACGTTATGTTCCAAGTGATGACGTAACAAGCGTGCAGACCGTTAACACTGGATGTGTTTATAGATCTACACGAGATGGAGCAGACGGACTTTCAGGGTATCTGCTGGCAAACGGTGACACAAAGCCTGGCGTGCACACGCCCACTGGGGCCCAACAGGAAGACCACGTACACCGAGTGCTGCTGCCGCTATGGAGAGGGTTGGGGAATGGACTGTGCMTTGTGTCCTCCCAGAAACTCAGGTAAACTCCACACACACCTCTGAAATACACTAACAACCCTGTCACTTAAATTATTAAGAGCCAAACAWCCTTTAAAGGAAGGTGTGTCCCCTTTCACCTTTCATGCCAGATGTCTAAACTAAGATGATTTTATGTAGATAAGGGGTGGAGTTAGTCATTTAAATGACAGTAAGCTAAATTTGATGAGTTGGGGATGACTTTCAGTTACTACCACCTCTTTATTATTTAATTTTAGCTAAATATCTGAACAGCAGGCTGAGCTATAGCCAGTTTTGTGTTGGGTAATAACAGTTAGCTGTAACCATATTTGAATTGTGCCAATTGACAAACTCTGTGAGATGTAGATTTAATTTAATTTAATTTTATTTGTCCTTAAAACCTCAGCGGACTATGCAGGCATGTGCAACCTTCCCTGGGGTGGGGAACAGCGGCCGTACGGTAACGATGCTCTTGTTGCTGGTCCCGTTCACGAATATGAAGTGAGTCCAGACTACCTGCCGTCACCTGAGCAGCAGCTTGGCCCAACCTTTTATGAGAATGAAGAGTGTGAGTAYCAAACTTAAGTACATCTATGTTCATCTTCAGTAATGAAATCTCCTCCACAGTGTTGCTATTGTGATGTAAAAGTCAATATTACATTTAGTCAAACAATAKATTTTTATATTTAATGTGGAGAAAGAAACCCCATGAAACCCTCTGTCTTAGTTTTTATGGTGTTTTTTTATTTTTATTTTTTTATTTTATTTATTTATTTTTTTGTATAAGTGCACTGCCTCTACAGGACTTTGACTCATAATTCTGATTAATGCATCATTTTGTTTCACTTTAAATGAATAACTTTTGTCGAACATGATTGATGCAGACAGAATGTTGGTACATAAAGTAATACTGAGTAAGTTTTAGCAGCTATCAGTTTCTATACCTCAGGCTTGACCTCCTTTCAGAAAAACGATTTTGTTTATTTGTGCACTTATAATCTGCAGAAACATCTGGAGCCAGAAACTCTTATGGTACAGCTGCTAAATCCATCATTCTGTTTTTAGAGAAACATTTAATCTCTYAGAAGATGAACCTAGTTAAAACTGTGTTATTCATAATTATTATTAGTTATTATGTATTTGATTGTTGTGAGACAATAAATGTGGATTTTTTTTTGTGCACCTGCTAGTGGTTTTAATGTTGTGGCTTAAAGAACAGCAGCTTCTCTGGCGTTAAACATTAAATCATTTGTCAGAACTTTGCTGCCACCTTGTGACACGTTGGGTTTAACACAGAACCACTGAAAGTACTGTATGAAGCTGATTGATGCCGTTTGTGTGATTCTCTTTTATACAGTAAATCTTGGTTACAGAGAATTTAAGCATGATTTCTACTGCTGTCTGAAATCAGGAATCAAATGCTGTCTATATAGATGATTTTAAAATCATTTTCTATTTTACATCACATTGGAATGAATGGCATTTAAAACTAGAAGTGAAACAGATAAAAGTATCTGAACTGCCAGAACATGAACTACTACAAACACCTCAGTAGATGCATTCTTTCTGTTTCCTCCCACACACGGACCAGTTTTTTGTTGGAAATGTTACATGATTTCATTCATTCTTTCATCCTGTAGAACATCCTTAATAGATTAAAAGTATGTTGTATTTTCAAGAAGTCTTATTTTTTTATACTGTCAGACTAGGAATAATGTCACCTTCCTGTTAGAATATTTTGACACAAAAAGTCTTGATAAATAAAATGTTTTCTTATTGAAGGAGCCTTCAATTGTGCCACTTTTCTTYGTTTACTCACCGTTTTAGTGTCTTGCAGTTTTGATTTGATGGAGTTCTTTTGTGTTTTACAGATCCTTACAGAGCATTTGAGGGGTTGCAAGCAGAGGAGTGTGGGATCTTGAACGGCTGTGAGAACGGTCGGTGCGTTCGGGTCCAGGAGGGGTACACCTGCGACTGCTTCGACGGCTACACCCTCGACCTGTCCCGCATGGCCTGCATCGGTAGGACAGCGCTCACATGCAGAGAAGCTAAAAACTTTGACTTGTTTGGGTTTTTTTGTTAAATCATTATTCTTATTTTTCCTCTCATCTCTCCTCAGATGTGAACGAGTGTTCCGAGCTGAACAACCGGATGTCGTTGTGTAAAAATGCCAAATGCATCAACACGGTTGGCTCCTACCAGTGCTTGTGTTTGCCAGGCTTCAGTGCGTCCGACAAACCAAACTACTGCGTGGCGGCGGAGACACAGCAAACATCCACACGCACGCAGTGAGCGGGGACAAAGTGTGGGGAAGTGGGAGGCACAAGGAACACCAAAGCCACACGCACAAACTCGTGTCTCCGTACTTGTCGGGACGTCCGCGCTCGGTCGATGCCACACCCTCGGCTGCAACCAAATTCTGAACGTCCTGAGAGCGGAGCGGACCATCGGCACCAAGCGGGAGGAGGAAAGACGGGGACTACACCTTTTAGGGTTTTACAGACTGAAAAGCATCACATATGAACCAATCTGTCTGTACGGACGTTTTCTACCTAATTCTGCTTTGTCCTGTTATTATGTTGTCATTAGCTAAATTTATACCTTCAGTGTCAGTGGCCATTTTTTAAATTGAAATTATTTGATTCTTTAACATATTTTTGTCTTGCAAGGTTTCACACTCTTTTGGACTTTGCCTCCAAAAACCTCTAAAATGTACAGTATTTTTGTAGGTTTTAAAATGTCAGGTTTGTGACAACATGGTGACATCAGGCAGACTTCACCATCACTTCAGGCACAACAGACGAACAATTTGAATGTTTGTGCCTCCATTTTTTGCTTATTTTGATTGTAGCTCAAAAGGCAGATAAAGAAATGTAATTGCCCCCCCTACATATCACACGTCATTATTTATTTACCAAACCGACAAAACCCCTGTTTCTATAGAGGGTGTTCTTCATTGTATACCATTTGTGCTTYTTACCTTTTTTTAAATTTTGTAAATAAATGATGACAACATGTAAAATGTCTGACGTTACTCATCTAAAATTGTTATGCCCAATCCACGCTAACATGGCTTTTTTTCTGCCCGTTTACTTAAAATCTAAGTCTTTGATGATAATTTTTTTTAAACATTTTTCAAAGGGGAGACTGCTTTAAACCTTTTTTTTTTGTGTATCAGTGTGGACAGGAAATACAGAGATATTCATAAATGATAATGGAGCAGACTAGTTTGTCTATGCTCACTGTCAGTGCGCTAGAAACCAAAACAATAATGGAGCTTTTTTATTGCTTTTGTCTCACTTTATCCTGGTGCTGGTGTCATTAAATGAGAACCTGGTGCTGAAATAGTGACTGAGAGGAAAAAAAGATGAGCTATTATTTTTGTGGGGAAGAAAAATCTGTAGCCTAGCTAAAGTTTTCTCTATATATTGATTTGTCATTAATTTGGATATTTTTGCTGTGTCGTGGCTGTTTCAGTACTTTTTGTAAACTGACTGGGTGGAGGACAAAAACGAAATTAGAGAAAATTATTTTAAATTTTGTACTGCAAAAATTGTCCATCAAACCAAGTTTTTCCATCTTCCATCCATCCAAAAAGTATTTTGGATCTTGTTTTGACTAAGAAAGAACAGTGTGCTAGATTATTAATCTTGTTAACTTGAAATGTTTCTTATTTCAAGAAGTGCAATCATCTTATTCCAYTGGCAAGATCAGAAATATTTTTTGGCTGGATATAAAATTGAAACACGTGGTTAGATGGACATTTTTTGCAGTGTGTAGATGAGGTCTTAGACATAGGGAGGTTGAGATTATTTTAATCCCAGTCAGACATAATGTTTGACAAGTCAATTGTTGACGTTTTGAAAGTTTATTACTAGATTCAGTGCATATTGATGACTAATTGGTCATTTTAAATTTGTATAAATTCTAATCCATGTGTGGAAAATCTTGCAAAGAGACTGAAAATACAAAACATTTCTATTTAAACTAAGTGAAGTTTTTGTTTAAAAGTCAAAAATATCTTATGCACAAAGAAAGGATACTTTGCTTATAGTGTGGAAAGGCCATGTTACTCATGTTTACATGGAGGAATCCATTAATGTGTAAATTTGGTTGAAAAGTTTAAGTCGAAATATTGTAGAAAATCATTTTCTGCAAAAATGTCAATAAGCATGAAGTTTAGGCAGCACGTCGGTTTAGTTGTTAGCACTAGTTAGGCTGCCTTCAGACCCAGGCCTCGCTTGCAAAAGAGATCTGTGATCTCAAATGGATTTGCCTGGTTAAATAAAGGTTGATTTAAAATAAAGCTTCTATTAGAGCGTTAAAGTAAAAGGTGAAAAGCCATCACTGATGTCCTCTTTAGCACTTTACAAAAGCTCAGTTTAGATTCACCTGATGACTGACAAAATCCAATTGATTTAGTCCTTAGAATGTTCTTAAAAACACTAAAACAAATATAAAAAGTACACTAGTATGTGTGTATATTAAAACAAAGGTAAAACAGAAGCCCAAGAATAAATTGTACCAAATGTTTTCCCTTCAATTCCACAAAACCTTCATTTATGTTTCATTTGCCAGCTTGCCTTAAATCAGTGGTTCCCAAACTTTTTATCTTCTGACCCATAAAATATCCATGGCAAAAACTTGTGACCCCAAATATTACTGRTCTGAGTACACGAACTTTGTAAATAACCCTGAAAACACAGGCTTTTTGACAATCTAAACAGGTTGTTGTGCACAAATATAAATACTTATTTATACTTATTTTGTGTTTTTGTAATAGTTATATTGAAACTATAACATCAGCAATTATTTTATTACCCCTTAAATTGATTTCTGGAGATTATCCAAGGTGCTTCATGACCCATAATTGCGTCCCAAGCCCAACTTTGGGAACCAAAGTGCAGTGGTTCCCAAACTTTTCAGCTTTTGACCCACAAAATAACAGTAGCAGCCCCCACCTATTTTTGGATGATAAACATTTGTATCAGGTCAACTAAACATGGGCATAGTAACTATATTTTATACTACATTTATCCATTTTAAATGCACTAACCTCACTCCTTTGTAACAACTAAGGCCAAACTGTAATTAATTAAGAAAATCTTTTCAGGACCCCACCTTGATGTTTCAGGACCCCACTTTGGGTCCCGACCCCAACTTTGGGAAACACTGCCTTAAATTACACCTGACCAGATTGCAACAAGTCTGTTAACTTACAAATTGCTATAAGGATGCTAACTCAACTTTTATCAAAATGATACAAAGCAAAACAGTAATTCATAACAACTCACCAGTCTTAATTCCTCTTCCCATTTGTTTTAAAGGCTGGGGTACAAATCTTGTTTATAGGGTTTGTTCTGCAGTCGTTGCCTCGAGGACTTGTGTTTTTGTGAGTACAAACCATCCTCTCCTGGCTGATTTGTGTACTGCAGTACTATCGTAATTGGATCTTAGTTGCTGTTTTGAAGCACACATAAAAAAAGAATAAACTGAAGTGTCTTGTTATTAAATAATAACAGTATTTATTGAGTCAAAAAGTCATGCTTCATATCTTTTTTTCTCTTACTTATATCCCCAAATTTGAGCTATACTGGTCCAACTTCAGAGGTTCCTTAAGCCTGATACCAGTTCGAACAAACAAACTCTGTAGAGAAGAAAAAATAAAAATAAAAAGCTATCATAAAAATGAATAGATGGTTCAGTTTGAGGTAATGAGCACCAAACCTCCCTGGGTGTTTCATGAATAATTCAAAATGAACCACCATCATCATTCAACTGAAAAAATAAAATTGAATTTTTATTTCTGCTTGTATAAACTAATCCAAAGTTAGCACATTGAAAGCCTCTTTAAAGAATCTGTTATCCTTTACATCCCACCGTCAGTATCAATTTTACAATTAACCTTTGTGCTGTTATTGTGTATGCATTTTTACTGACAAGTTCCTCTTTCATTCTTTGGTTAGATCTGGACTTCTATCTTAGTGTTGTTTAAAGCTAAATCTGGATCACATGAGCTAAACAAAGGCTGACTTTCAATTCTTTAAAATGGGCTAAACTTGGACCAGTTTCAATGGGCTAGGCATAAAATCTTTTTTAAGCTACTGTATATAAATATATAAATGCAAAGTACGGAAGCGTATTGCTATCGTTTTAATGAGATACGTATCACGTTATAATGTGATAGCGCTCTGATTTTTTTTTTCCTGCGTGATAGCAATACGCTTCCGTAGCAAAGACTATGACCTGCAATAAACATTTTTAAAAAGTCCATAAACATCCTGTCTGATCCCTTATTCCTAAAACATATAGCCATACAAAACAGACCCATATGCACATGTTTGATTCTATCCTCATGGGGACTTTGCATTGRCTTCCATTCATTTACCAGTCATTTCTGTTGCCTGACCCTAAACCTAACCTAAGCTCAATTCACACCTTRGTCCTGATCCTAATCCCTGACCTACCAATAATTCCCCTAACGGGGACAGGGCTTTTGTCCTCATTAGGAACAGTGGGTTCTTAAAAGGCTGTGTGTACTGGGAAATGGTCAAAAACCATCTTCACCAGATAATAAAAATAYGTACACACACAGGCACAATCAAATCCAAACTATTCTGCACTGTTTAAAAGATTAATTTACTCAAATAAACCACATCATTACTTGATAAAGCTTCAGATTAATTACTGCTTGAACTGAAACACAATTTTATAAAAAATGTTTTTTTTCTTCTCTAAGAAGTGCTGCCTTTATTTTCTTACATGTCAGAAGAGGAAGTGTTCATTTAGCGTTTTGACAAACCCAATGTATGGAATAAAACGGGATCTAGTTCTGTCCAATCGGGACGATTGTGGATATTTAATTCTGGGAAGAGGCCAGATATCTGTTCAGTCACCATCTTTCTGTTTGTCACAAAGCACAACTCATAACCACATCGGGACACTTTTTGTCTTTAGCAGTTCTGAAGGAAATTACTTTAGGAAGAAGCGCTTTTATCTTTGTTGTGTAAAAGCAATCAGATGCAATCAGTCCACCTGTTGACTAGAACACAAGATTAAGGAACGATTCCTGTTTTTGTTGTTKTTTTTTTTTTTTTACAAGGACCTACAAGACTGCAGTGCTTCCTGTTGTTCCTTCTTTTTGTRTCATGAAGAGACTCAAAAGATGTTCGAGCTTCTTTTATCAGTTCAGTTGAATTATTTTACCAGGTTGTAAAGCTGCTATGGAACAGTGATGGGAGAGAAGAACCTTGTGTACATTTAAGCTATAAAAAGGACAAGACGGCTTATGTAACTGTCATTTGTATGAAAAAACAACTTTTGATAAAAATTTGTATCACAATGTACAATAAATCCCCCTTGGTATTAAACCACAGATAGTGATATTGTCACATTTGTCTGTTTTTTAAATTCTGAAATAAATAGCATTTTGTTTTGATATTTGAATTCTTTGAATTGTTCATTTTTTGACAGTTTTTTTTAATGCCTGCATGGCATCTATTCTTTCCATTGTTGATTCTAATGTTTAATCTGCTCCCATTACCCATCGTTTCATTTTCTTCTGCATATCTCTGGCTCCTCCTTGTGGATCCCAAAGGTCAGAGAAAAATATACAATATCACCTCCATAGAGTTCTGGGTCTGCCCAAGATCTTCCTCTCAGTGTGGTGTGCCTGTAAAACATCCGCAGGGTGAAACCTTGGAGGCATTCAAATCTGATGCCTGAACCACCTCAGCAGATTTCCTTTGATGCAGTGGATCTTCTCCCAGCTCCCCCCAGATGACMGAGCTCATCACCTTACCTCTAAATCTAAATCCAGCAATCCTGAGGATGAAGTTTATTTCAGCAGCTTGTATCTGGGATCTTGTTCTTTTGATCATGGTTTATATTTCATGACCATAGCAAGACAGGCCGAAGCAACAACCTCATTTCTGCAGATGATGGCCCGATCCATCCGCCGCTACATCCTGCCATCACTCACAAACAAGACTCCCAGATACTCAAAATACTCTGATTTATGCA